AATTATTTATATGTTTTAATAGTGACTCAATTAATTGTGTCAAGGATCTATGAATTTCAGCAACATGTATAGTCTGAATTATACATGTAATAAAATTGAATTCAGACATTTTTCAAAAACCATATTACTATTAAAAACATAAAAAATTAATTGAAAATCATGTTTAATTGAAAATTGTATTACTATATATGATAAATATTAACAATATGACTACATGTATAATCTAGATTAGTAATAGACTTGTTGTTAAGAACAATATATAATTAAATAAAACAGTAATAAGCAATAATATAAAAAAACTCTTTCTCACAACATCTCTATCCATAGAAAATTGCCTTTTTAGGGAGCTTCTTTCTTCCAAGGAACTTTGTCTAATGGAATATGTCTTTTTGGGAGGGAACATAGAACAGAGAACTGATTTAGAACAGTGGAGGTTTCAAGGATAAGATTGGCCCCTGGGGTTTCCAGCAATGGAGCCTGCTCTAAGAGATCTAGTGACTGGTAATGGCACTGGGCAATAACTTGGAACAGAGAAGACAAATAAAAAAAAAATTTTCTATGTGAAGGCCATTTCTAAACATAACCGCTATAAAACAATCACATTTTTCATCTTCAACTCAAAAACAGTCCTATTCTCAAGAGGCTGCATTTTATTTTTTTAGAGTTTTTTTTGTTTTCTGCTGATGATAACTAGTGCTAGATTTCATATAATCTTCTGGCTAGTTACCAGTCCTCATTCACAAATTTCAACACAAAAACCGCAACTAGCTTACCTCTATTAAATGATTTGCAACACATAAAACACCAATTACAATTTATATCACTTCCATACACCAAAACAACACAACAACTTACCAGATTGGGAGAGTGTGTGACTAGTGCCCTGCATGGGTTCCAGTAATCACAATATACAACACCTTATCAAAACAACATAATAGACATCTGAAACGCATTCTAGTTATCTTATTATTTACATCACAACACACCAAACTCCACAACAGCAACAACACCACAAAATATCACACGACCAAATTCATTGAGTTATATGTGACTTGCATGGTGCCATCATTAAGGATGGGTCCCTAAACTATTTAGCATATAAAATTTTGCAGATCAATTATGTCCCTTTTGAAGGGACATAATTATTTATTCATTACTTTAATAGGGACATAATTCAAAAAACACTTGGATCAAATGTCCTAAATTGCAAAAAAACCTTTGTAGGTAGTTTTTTTCTGACCTTATATTTTTAAAAAAACTTTTTTAATAGTAAGAGACATTTGAATTATGTCCTCGCTTTTAATTTAGGGACCCATCTTTATATGTACGATTTATAATTTAATTAATAACTAGCAATTGTTTACTTTTTTTTTTCTACTTGGTTTCTAAAGATTCACATGTGTTAATTTTTATTTTTGATAGGCTAGAATTAATTTATTTTATAAAGATTTCTTAATATTTAATAACAAACAAAAATTTAATAAAAATCTTATATTTAATGCCTATAAAAAAATTATATTTATACTATAACTTTAAAACTTTTGAAAGCTAAATTACTTTGATACTTGTAAATATAATTTTAAAAAAAATTGTTGATAAAAACAATAATATTTTTATAGATGAATATAAAAATCATTATACTTTATACAAAATATTAAATTCTTGGATATTTTAATACTTAAATTAATTTACAATACAAGATTATATATATATATTCCATATATTTTAATATAGCTTTTAATAAAAAAACTAATAATTAATTAATTTTGAAATTTTAAATTTAATAATTAATCCTAAAGAAACAATAATGAAAAAACTTACATATTAATTTTAAGATCTTATATATATACTTACTTTTAGTACTTGAATATAAAATAATAAAATAAAAGAAATTACTAAAGAAAGTATATTATTCAAATATAAGTATAAATATATAGATAGGTATTTAATTATAATTCAATTCAGTATATTATCTTAATAAATAATATTTATTTAATAATAATGTTTTAGATTTTAATAATTAATTATACAAAATTTCATATAATAATAATAATAAGATTTATAAAATAATAAAGATATAAAATGTAATGATTTTTTTTTAATAATTAATTATAGACAATTAATATTGTTGAAATTACAAATAAAAAAAATATAAAAAAGTATAAAAAATTCAATTTTAATAACTGTTAATTAATAATTCTATCAAATTTTTAAGCATATTTAACAAAATTTTATTATTAATAAAATATACAATTATTAATAAAATAATTTTATTAAGTTTTATAAAAAGATATATTTATCTCAAATCCAATTTACTGTTAATAAATTATATAATATAACTTTAAAAAATTCTGTATTTTTTTTTTTTAATTTATTTATAAAATTTTTTTTAACTTATAATAAGATATACAATTATTTAGAAAAAATATAAATTAGAAATTATATATGTAAAGGTTTGAATTAAAGTTGTTCATATAATATAATGATTATAAATACAAAGAATTTTTAGGATTTTTCTAAAATCTTAAGGATTCTGACAATTATTTTTATTCTGATAATTCTAAAAATAATTAGAATAATTAGGATTCCAGAAATAACAGAAATATTACAAACAGTACAAATGAAAAAAATAATACAAATAATATAATACAAATATAAATAACAAAAATAGTTTTTTGTATCTAATATATAAATTGATTTAATAAAATCAAGCTTTTATAACAGAAAATATAAAAAGTTTTAAGTAATAGTTTTAAGTATAAATATTAAAGTTTTTGTTAAAGATTGTATAAAAACTTTAAATAACCAAATTCTTTTTATATTTCAAGCCTTACAAAACCAGAATAATTAAATATTGGAAAAGTCTTTAACTTTATATAATTTGATAGTAACTGTGATATTTAATCAAATAAAATTTATTGTCCTTTAATTTTTTTTACAAATAAATTCTTTGATAAATAAAATATATATTAGCAATTATCTTATAATTTAATATTTTGATTTATTTTTTTGATTTATTCTATTTTTTTGTTATTACTTTATTTTGCTATTTTATTTTGTTTAAAAAATACAAAAAAAGTATAGTATAAAACAAGAATATAGATAGAGTAAAACTAATAATTGTAAAATATATTATTAATAAATATAAAAATAATAAAAAAATTTTTAATAGTAAAAATCTATACAAATATATAAAATCTCTACAAATTTCTTTAAATTATATAGAACATTGGCAAAAATTATATATATACAAATGCTAAAAAAAAAAATATTTAATAGAATAAAAAAACAGAAAGAAACAAACAACAGAAAAGAACAGCTTGTGTATATTATAAATAATTCAGAAAGATTTATTACAGTACTATTTTAACACAATTTAATATATTAAATGTAATTAATATTATATAACAAATTCAATTTCAAATAAGGTTTTAAAAATAAATAAAATATATAATACTATTAAAGAAGAAAAAAGTATACAAATCCTAGATTGATTAATTCAAGTCTAATATTCAGTTTATTTTTTTGCTCTTTTATTTTTTTCAATAAATTTCTATGGTATTATTATATGTATATATTGCAAAAAATATCGTACAATAGTATTTTTTAACAAATTTCATTTTGTAATAACTTACTTTTTTTTTTATTTCTATATTCTAAATCTTTGTTTACTTAATATAGGTTGGTTTTTATAAATATGTATTAGAGTTAAAGACTTGCAGCGTTATCATAAAATCATATTTTGTTATTATTTATATCCAAAAGAAAAAGGAATATTTGTTTACTTGTTTTTGCTATAAAAATATTAATTTTTAATTACAAATCAATAAATTTTTGCACTATTTATTCATCAATTATATTCTTTTTTTAAAGTTATAACAGACAATAAATACAAGACTTTTATTAAATATTATAATAATTTACAAGATATTGAAAACTATTTTACATTTGTGTTCCATATAGTTGGTTTCAAGTTATTTATTGATTATATTTGCAACATCATTTCAAAAATCTATTATACAGTACTACTACCAGAAATGTTATAATACTTAACATTTTTGTTTTTTTCTCTCATTAATTAATAAACGCAATTGATTTGTTAGTCCACATTACAAAAAATATTGTCACGTGCAAGTTACTCAACTAAATACTTTTATATGTATTTTTCATAGTACTTTATAAGAAAAATCTATTGTACGTATCTATAGTGTATATTCACCACACATATATTATATTTCAATTAGATTAGAATACTTCGGAATGATAATATTAAAAAACTCTTGCTATCTTTAATATAGAAAAAAATAACTTTCTTAGGCTTTATTATGGTTAACTAAAAAATAGTAAATTTTTCTAGAATTATAACAAGAGTAATTGGAACCACGTGACAGATCGCCGCGACAGGCATTTGGAGGTGTACGATTATCGAATGATAGAGGAGGGAAAGGAATTATATAATATAATGACTATTATTCTTTAGTAGCATAGCCACCCTTAATAATGCGGATGATTAAAGTATAAAAAGAAAGAATGTAATGTCAATAAGTAGGAAATTTTTTAATGAATCGATCAGTAAAATTATTATTTAACTCTCGACCAAATCAACACGCCTCACATCTTTTACCTTAATTAACAGTCGCGCGAATTCTGCTATTTCGTAGCGACAAGTTCGCGAACGGCTGTTACAATATTTATATGAATTACATACAATAATATAAACAGTATTTATATCTGCATACTTTACTATAATCGATAGTGGAGTAGTATCTAAAGACACGTATACATTTCTCTTATTATTATCACAATTACTCTATAAATATGATAAACATAACACTTTTGAAGAGATGGTTCGAGAATCAAGACCTTATGGGCACGCTTGTTTGTGATAAAAAAATTTTTTTGACAATTTTTTTTCAATGTTCTGCATGTAATATCATAGCCATATATAAAATAATTTACAATAAATCTTACTTTCCTAAATTAAATTTGATTAAAAATATTCACATAGAAGCAAACTTTTTTACTTCCAAACGTAAACAAGAAACCTGATCTTCAACCTCTCGTAGATGTTTATCGAATTCTAAGAAGACCTCACGAGTTGAATATCCTAATAATGAAAATGGATTGTTAGTGGATTAGTCGTAAATGAAAATTTAAGCATACTGTATAAAAAGTTGAGTTACGGTACCGGATTCGAGACGGTTAGTTAACTCTCGCAAATCACGCCGTGAGTCAGAATGCATGGTTGTCGTTTGTGTCAATAACTGTAAAAGTTTATTTAACTCTGATGCATAAAAAATTTCGTATAAGTATTCCTAGATGAAATTAGATTAAACTGATTAACATCAGTACAGTACCAGGTTTAAAATCCAAGTTTCAGTGACAGTCATGCGATCAACATATTCTTGTCCTTGGAAATAAATATTCCCCGGAAAGGCTTGAGGATAAACTTGATAAGGTACTGCAGAAAGAAGAATTGCATCTAGATCAATTATAGGTGCTTCTTTATTCATCACGCCTTTACCAAGATTTTGGTCCGGTCTGGAACTACATTTTTCAGAGTTTATGAAATCATTAAGAGGGGCATTCCTTAAAGGAGAAGCTTGACTTTGCATTCCGGGAGAATTACTTATAGATAACTCTCTATTGATTTCATGTTTGTCAGGCTGAAAGCCCAAGTCTTCAGCGTTCATTGAGAAAACTATCCCTTGTCCTGGAAGAAGGAAATTATTTCCCGGAGAGGTTTGATAAAAATGTTGATTTGTCACTTCGGGAGGAATTGTAAACGAGTTATTCATAGATAATTCACTATTTACGTTGTTTTCACAAATATTTTGATCAGTTGAAGAAGTACACTTTTCAGAGTTCATTAGGTCAACAGTTTGTTCAGGATGAAGAGTCACATTTTCTGAACAGTTTTGAGGATAAGCCTGACTTGACCCTAAAGAAGAATTACTTATAGTTAATTCTCTATTCGCGTCACCCTCACGTAGATATTGGACAATCCAGTCTTCGGTGTTTATTGCATTTCCTAAATAACTTGGGGCATAAGTTGGGCTTGACGAGTCAGAAGGGATATTACCCGAATCACTTGCATGCAATTGCCTATCTGCTCTATCTTGAGTCACATCTGATAATTTAAAAAGAAACCATGATATTATTGGTAAATATAATAAATATTGAATTGAAAATTGCTTACCACTGATAGATCGACTTTTGTTTGTCCTTAATTGCCTCAAACCTTGTTCTAAGAGGGGCTCAAATACGCTATAATCCCATCCTTTTTTGATAGCGATATTATGAGATTTAATGTCTCCTATGTAACGGCTTAGAGTTTCACGTGATACACCATCCTCGATTTTAGTTTTAATATAAGTCTGTAGGTCTATTCTTTTGATCGGGAAAGGCTCTTTTGAAGAATCTAACCGCTTTATTGTTTTTATGTAGTTTTGAACACCCTGTCGTGTTATAGTTATATTTGGATCCCTTTTGCCAATACCTTTAATAGGGGGCATTTTTAAGAAACAAGAGAAAAGTGATTGTATAAGTTTTTTTCGATTTTCTTAAGCTAGTTTGCTACCTTAATATAATACCCCGAAGGTTTATTCGAGACCGTATTGTGAAACTACGGAGTCGTGACCATTGTGGTTTCCTTCAATGCACATACGGAATATGCATGAAAATAATCAACAATACAGCAGTAATGTACTAACTGTACTACCGTACAATAAGTGTAAAAACGAATTATGAAATTAATATATTACTGTGATAAGTTGTCACACATAATTGAAACGTAATCATTTTCGATTGTACTTTATTAAAGATGAACATCAAATGCTATGTTTTTAAAGCATTATTACGTTAAAAAAAAAACTTTGTTTTATTGATATGAAATATATTTCTCTTTTCATAAAATGACTATGCAACTCTTTAATTAATATAACTAAATTGTTTATAGTATATCGAAAAACTTTCTTCATCTCTTCACAGAATACCTCCTCATTAATTGTGTATTCTTTGCATTTAGAAAAAAAAAAGATTCAGACATTCTTGTCATCGAATGGCATTTAGAAAAAAAAAAAGACATTCTTGTCATCGAATGGCATTTAGAAAAAAAAAAATTTCACGTCCTTCTTTTTATTGCGAATGGCATTTAGAAAAAAAAAAAATCTCAGGCACTCTTTATTGCGAATGACATTAGTTCAGGATATAATTAATCAGCGGGTATTTTACATTAGATAAAAATTTTATTAGTCTGATTCACCAGACAAAAATTTTACCAGGGAATTATTTGAGCATATATATATGAAATGTAGATAGTAAGAAACTGTGTCTTTTTGACCATATTGGTTACATATACATTTACGCACTATGTACAATTTCTTTACAAAGTAAGGCTCATGCATTACATTCTATGCAAATTTTGTATACGGTATACAAAAAGATGTACAATAATATCAGAATAGTAAATTTGTATACAGTATGCAAATTTCGTATAAGCATATGTAATCTATGTATGCTTTGATATACAATAAGGGTTAAACAACCATTGTTTCAAAGTAAATTAATCGCGAATATTTTCAATAAAATATAGAATTATTTCTTATCCAATAAATTTAAACCCAATGACGAAGCTTTTTTAATAGGTCGCTTTCAACTCTGTTTCGGATTTATCATATGCACTAGCTCGCAAAAGAAAATCATCATTATCAAACATTGTATGGTGATACGAATAACTTGAATCGATTTAATAGAATTAAAATATAATTTAATAAAAAAAAAAGCAATAATAATTCTCAATTTATTTTGAAGCATTCGTAACTTTAATACCACGTGCAATGGAAGGCTAGTCTAAAACCTTTTCTTTCAACTCAAAAGTTTTATCCAGCTATCTTTTTTCCGTCCAAAACTTGGACGCGACCCCAACATACGTATGTAATATGAATTATAACATGAGTAAAGGTAACGCGATCTGCATTGAGTTCTCAATCCCACAATATTACCGAGATCTGGCTTGTCGAACGCAAAATCATGACACAATTGCGACAATGTTATTCGCAAAAAAATTGATTGTGGCGCTATAAATCAATTCAACAATAATTATGTAATAAAATAAAATATAAAAGATTACTTCATCATAATATTTTATTTAATTAATTGGATTTGTTATCATTATGTAATTAGCATAAAAATGCATAAAGAGAAAGAATTAATAAAGACAGTAAACTTTTCGACCAACATCAAATCCGTCTCACTTTTGTTAAAAATACTCTTTTATCTACCGATCATTATGCGAATCTAGACTACTCTTAGCGACAGACTCGCTGGTCACTATTACAGAATATACAGTGTTACCAAATGCCTTACCTCAGATCTACCTTGTGCCCTCTTTCTTGCACGCGCCAAAGCCAATTTACCACACTCTTTACATGATATACAGGTAGACTATTTCTAGCGAACTCTATATCCCTCTAGTACCTAAAATATGACTGCCCAAAATTCCCCTGAATTGTTTTACCTCCCGAATTTATTCTCATCTTCTGAATTTTGATCTAGAGTATGAAATGAAAAGAATTGTGCGTTATACCACCGGTGCCCTACCGCTTTTCCAAAATCTGTAATTGAGAAAAATGGATGGTGGCAACTATTTCGATATTTTGGTGATGATTATTTCAAAGGTATTTTCTCTCATTATTAAACTTGTCCCAAATATGATAAAATAATCCTTAAAAAGGTGATATTTAAAGGGAGGATATTTTATTTATGGCTATTGATGTAAAAGAATCAACTGAAAAGATAAGAAGAATATCATATTATGTATTGTGCTCATATGGCCCTTTTATTAATGGCCAAAAAGCTATAGTAACAATTAAAGGTATTCGAGTATTCTTCGATATTGTGACGGGATAACAGCGAATCTATCGCTAACTGGGAGCATAATTCGCGCAACCGTCACTTTAATTTAACAATTAAAACTCAAAAGCGGCGGGTTTGACTTGACCGAATTCTCCATCTTTATTTGATACTTTCTTTATCTTTTTATACATGTTTTAACAGATATTTAGATGAAAGCATTATAGAGTAAAAGAAAAAGATCAAAATCGATAAAACTTTTAGAGCTATTAAAGGAAAGGTAAGTGATTCTGTGTCATGCATTATGCCACAAGCTTGCTAAAATATTTGTACCAATTAATTTATTCCATTAATTAATCATTATTTTTACAGGTTAAATAGGTCACGTGTCATCTATTTTTGCCTCCTAGAATATTATTTCGAAACTAAAAAAAAATATCCTTTACGATATTATACAAATACTGTATAAAGTAGAGCATGTCAAAGCATTTCTATTTACTGTATTGGGTATAATGCAAATAAGAAATTATATCGCTACAATTACTGAAGAAAGAAGAAATGCTATAAAAAATAATATAAGTCCTTGCTTATTACAATAATTTGCGATAATCAAGTAAAATTACCAAAAGCAGTATATTTACAAGCCTTTGGCCTGAGAGTCAACTTGGATTTAACGATTTAGATTATGATTGGTCTTTTATTATAAATAAGGCTAAAAAATTAAATGTTTTAAGTAGATGTAAGGACGAAAATCAGGGGGAGGGGCTTTTTCGAAAAAATGGTGAAGAAATTTTGTGTTATGATTACTATAAAGAGATAAGTAAAAATTCTAACAAACCAAATCAAAATACAGAAAAACGGAGATAGAAGAAAGGAGGAACGAGGATAAAGAAAAGGAGAAGAAGGAAGGTTTTTAGACAAAAGTTTGTTAAAGTTAAGATCGATTATAACAAGATGATACCAGAATACGTTCCAATCATGTTCGTGTATCTTTCATGAAGCTATATCCTCAGTCGGAAGTTGGAAAAATAATTCACGCAATTTTATTTAGGAGAATGTGATCTTAAAAGTAAAGTTTATATGCCGATAACTACTATAACCAAAATTTATGAGACTGCAAAATCATCAGAGATGTCCAAAACAGCAGAGTATGTATTCAAGTTATCAAGAACTTATAGTCGCACGTAACATGATAAACGATTATAGAGATATTGCTTCAATTGCTTATGGATCTTTATTCGACTCCCACTATCACGCAAATGGAATGAGAATAAGAAATCTTGTAGGCGTATATTCTTTTAAACATAATGTATTTTTACCACAGATAGGGGTAAATTATAGGAAAAGAAAGCATCCTGAGGCATATATATTTCCTCCAATAAAAGATCTCAATAATAGACGCCCGGTTACATACTTGGATTTTGCATCATTATATTCATTTATTATCATGACTTATAAATTTTCACCCGAAAATATTATATTAGATGAAAAGAAGTCATTGATCTACAATACAGTAGAAGGGATACATCTTCGTTAAATTGAATTTATTCGATGGTCAAATTTATAAGTTTAGTCAGTATTGAATGAAACAAGATTAATAGAAAAGGTTTGTATCCACTAGTTCTGGAAAAATTATTTAATAAATAAAATAAAATGAAATCAGAACTCGCAATTCTGGCTAAAAAAAAAAGAGTATATAGAATTGATAATGTAAAGGGCATAGGTAATTAATTACATACAGTATTTGTAAATCTATGTCAATTTCCATGATTTATTAGCAAAATTTGCATTAATTGCATTATTCTCACTATTTTGATTATTTTCTTTATCTAATTATTATTTTTTTTTGTTATTTTAATTATTTTTACTATTTTCACTATTTGAATTATTTTGATTATTCTACTAATAATGCAAATAAAAAAAATAATTATTATTTTTAAAGATAAATTAAAAATCTTCAGGATACAAATTTATTATATCATAATTTAAGAGATACATATCATGTAACATATAACTTATATGAATCCTAAAATAAAATATGTATTGTTTATTTGTTTTTATTTGTTTTATTAATTATTATTATCATTATTATATTAATTATATTAATATTAATTATTATAATTATTGATTTTTTTACATTTATTTTTTGAAAAATAATATATATATTATGTGATTATAGGACTTTATGACAATTATTAAACAAAAAATATAATTTAAAATTATTGTTTAATAATAATTATACAAAAAATCAAATGAATAAAAAATTAATTAATCAATTAAACATAAAAAAATTAATAATAATAATAATATAAGATGAAACTTGTATTTAAAAAATAATTGACAATTATTTATACTTTGGATTTTATCTTATATTATTATACATATGCTTAAAATTAAATTTGATTTTTTAATACTTGATCAATAAAATTAAAATTTTTTTATAGATTAATAATTTAAGTTTTAAGTTTTCAGATAACAATATTTTTATTCAATTGATTTAATATTGCCAAAAATATTGATATAAAATTATAAAAAAAATGGTAATTCAAATAATAATATTTTTATAATAATTAAAATCCTATACCTTTATTATTATTAAATTACTTAAATTAAATATATTATATATAAAGTATATTCTATTAATAAATTTAAAATTAATTTT